GCGGCCCCGGCTCTGCTCCGGGAAACAGCTCTCCCTGCCGGTTGGTTATCCCGCTGACCGTCTGCACCACGGTATCGAAGCCTCGACGCTCGGCCCATGGCCCCACTCGTCCGAAGGCGGACAGCGACACATAGACGATCCCCGGCCTGATGGCGGCCAGTTGTTCCGGCGCCAGACCTCGCTGCGCCAGAGTGCCGGGCCGGTATCCCTGGGAGAACACATCGGCTTCCCGGACAAGTCCTCTCAGAGTCTCGGTATCCTGGTCGTTCCTCAGGTCAATGTGCGCGGAGAGCTTGCCGTGACCGGTGTCCAACTCCTGGGTCGGGCTGAAAGGCAGGTGGGGGCCGCTGATCTTCATCACATCAGCGCCGTGCTCGGCCAGCGTGCGGGCGCAGGTAGGGCCAGCCAGCACGCGGGTCAGGTCCAGCACCCGGATACCCGACAGAGGCCTGGACCCTTCCGGCATGGGCTGAGGAGGACTGTCGGCAATCTTTTCGATCTCGAGGAGGGGCAACGACGACACGGCAGCCGACTGCGGGTGGCGGGCCCATTCCTCCATGGAACGGACCATGCCGCCGGCTCCATTGGCGGCGATGATGGCTTCCTCCAGCTCCAGCGCGTTCCAGCCCAGAACGGCCTGGCGCACCGCCTCGCGGTCCTCCGGCACGCCCAGCACGCCGAGGGCCGCATCCCGGTGATTGGGGAAGTTGCAGTGCAGGTAGGACCAGCGGCCGTCCTTCGTGGGGTACACGCCCATGACCGGGGTTCGTTCCGCAGCGACCGGCGTGCCATCCATCACCAGGTACTTGCCGCTTCGCAGGGAGGCCGTGGCCCGACGGAAGTCGACCTTGACCTCCTGCCTGCGCCCTGTCTTCAGTTCCCACAGGTCGTTCACGGCAAGTCCCACAGCGGCCAGGCTTACTGCCGCAGTCTCCCCGATCCTGAAGGGAGTCGGCAGGATGGGGTCTCGGTGGTCCGAAATCTCCACGCCGCCGGCCAGAGCCGGGTCCCAGCCGACGGTCGAGAGTATCGTCTTCAGCGCTTGGTCAGACACGATGAAACTGCTCCTGCATGGATGATTGGAGTCCTACCACAGTTCGTTCGAGGCGAGCCGCGCCCCCTCAACCATGGAGGCAAGCTTGGCCCAGGCGATGCTGGCCTCCACCTTTCGGCCCCAAGCCGAGGTGCCGAAGCCGCAGTCGCTGCTGGCCATCACGTTCTCCCGCCCCACCGCATTGGCGTAGTTGGCAATGCGCTGGGCTATCAGCTCCGGGTGCTCGATGAAGTTGGTAGTGGTATCCAGCACGCCAGGGATGAGCAGCTTGCCATCGGGCAGCTTCACATCCTCCCACACCTTCCACTCGTGGGCGTGGCGCGGGTTGGCGCCCTCGAAGGACAGGCCGAGGGGCCTGGCTTTCAGCACGATTTCCACGATCTCCCGGAGCGGTATGTCGTGGTGGTGGGGGCCTTCGGTGTTCCCCCAGCAGAGATGGAGCCGCATGCGTTCCGGGTCCATGTCTTGCAGGGCGTAGTTGACCACCTCCACATGGAGTTCGACTATCTTCTTGAACTCCTCTTGCGACAGGTGAGAGAACTGGGTCACCCGGGTCATCGCCAAGTCGGGGCAGTCGATCTGGAGCAGGAACCCCGCATCGGCTATGGCCTTGTACTCGTCCTTCATCACATCGGCCAAGGCGTAGAGATAGGCCTCCTCGCTGGGGTGGTACTCGTTGGGGAGGAAGTTGGCGATGACGCCGGGCGAGGCCGCCGTCATGAACACCTCTTCGACGGTGGAGTCCGCCGTTGCTTCCTTCAGGTTCTGGATATCCTGCAGCACCGCAGGCCAGTCCTTCCAGGATATGGGGCCGGTGCAGGCCGGCTGGGGCAGGTTGCGGGAAGAGAAGTGGGTCTGCGTGGCGGCGAATTCCGGGAAGTCGGCGTCGTCCAGTCGTGGGCGGGCGCGGACCATGCGCTCCCCCTCGAATCCGGTGAGGCGCTCCTTAACATAGGTGGCGTATTGCGACCGGCCCTGCTCGCCGTCGTTCACCACGTCGATGCCAATGGACTGCTGCCGGGCCACCGTTTCGGCAACTCCATCCCGCACACCATCGGCGAACTTGCCAGGATCGTATTCACGCTGTTCTTCCCGTTCCCGCAGCAGTTCCTGAAGCTGTGGGGACCGGGGCAGGCTGCCGGTGTGGGTGGTCAGAATCTTGGACCCGCTTCTTTTCATAATGCCCCTCCGGACATCGACTCAATCGTACGTTGTTCCCGCCATTGTACTCAAGAATTGGGCCGAGGCGCTCTCGCCAGGATTACCGGGCCAGGAATGACACTGTGGTGTCCGAATTGACGACCACCTCGTACTCTTCTCCGGCCTCGAAATAGGACCCCAGGGGCACAATGGTCTCGTCCAACGGGACATCCTTGGTGCAGGCGATCCCGGAAGCGGTGACCTGGTGGTTGGTGATGCTGACATCGATCCGGCGGTCCTGCTGCCGGCGCGTCTCGTACCCGTCGAAGCGGGAGCAACTGCTCCCGACAGGCCTTGATGAGACCACGGTCAGTTCATAATTCGCGGGTTCCTCCTCCACCTCTTCCACCCCGGCTCGCAGGATGTGGGATTCGGCTATGGCGGAGATGTGGAACTCCTCGTCGGGTACGGTGAAAGCAGCGAACGGCCAGCCGTTGACGACGACCCGGTAAGTCTGGCCTGGCTTCAGCGCTTCCTCGAGCGGAAACACCGCGTCCAACTCCACGACCTCATCCTCGCAGGGAATGGCCCATGGTGTGGAAGGCGGCTGAATCAGGGTTACGCTCACCATGAAGTCGGTTCCTTCCAATTCCAGGGACTCGTTCCCTCGGCGGGCGCAACCTTCAATAGTAGACTGGTAGTAGTGGACTCGGATCAGGGGTTCCCGTTCGCTTCTCATCAGGTTCGCCCGGGCAATCCGGGCAGGGGTCTCCACCCAGGTGCGCCAGTCTTTTCCTTCCTCGACCGCTTCCGGTGGGGGTTGCACCAGCACCAGCAGCATGTCGACTCTGCTTGGATTGCCCCGTGTTATCACCTCGTAGGCCGTGTCGTTGGTGAAGGCCAGCCGCCCGTCTCTTTCGACGATGCGGGCGCTCACGGAGTATGTGTTTCGAGGGTTGATGTCTTTGCTATCGTATTCGACCCTGAACCCGATGGGGACCTGTCCCGGGTTCTCGATCGTCTGGCTGGCGATGAGAGGAGCGGCGGCATCGGCCAGAGACACATCTCGCAGTTCGACGATGAGCCTGGCCCCATCGGTGAGTGCCAGTCGCTCCCTGTAGGTGACCGTACCCGTAACGGCCGCGTCGGGAGTCTTGACGGTCTGAGTTCCGCTGCCGGAGCCAGGCTGTCCGGATTCTTCCATGCAGGCGCCCAGCATGAAAGCAAAGGTGAACAAAACTGCAATCAGGCCGGTCATACTTGGCACCTCAGGCACCTGGAATGCCTGTCACTCAGACACTATCTCCCGCCTGCTGCTAGATCTCCCCGTCTATCCGGTTGATGACCAGCCCCGTTGGCAGCTTGGGGTAGAAGAAGGTGGACTTTCGCGGCAGCCGCTGCCCCTGCCCGACGATGTCCTCGAATGCGTCCATGGGGAAGGGCTTCATCAGGAAGGCCATCTGCAGCGACCCATCGGCCACACCCTCTGCCGCCTCATCGTGGTCGTGCAGGAAACCCAGGTGGTGCCATGTGGCCTCGCCCAGCTCCGGGCGGAGGATTCTCTCCTCCAGCACCCACGCTTCCGACACCGCCATCGCGCCCCAGTCGTCGCCGATGGCAGATGGGCGCAGCGTGAGCAGCTGTGCTCCATCGGGCCCCAGCGCGGCCATCACCCGCCCGGAGCGCCCCCGCTCCTCCACCAGCGCCACGATCTCTTCGGCTGAACGTCCTTCCATAGGTTCAGTCTCGAACACCTCGTTCAGCCGTTCCTTCACCCTCGCCAGCTGCCAGTCGTTCAGGCCGCTCAGATTGCGATGATACGGCAGCACAACGAGGCCGGGGTCGTCGAATGCGATCAGCGTCATCATCACATAGTTGTGTGCACTCGACGACGAATCCGCCCCCTCAGCCTGCCGGGCCATCCGGTAGTGCCGCGACGCCTCGTACCGGTGATGCCCGTCTGCCAGGAATACCGGCCGGGTTGAGAAGAACCGGCTGATAGCGGTCACGCTTTCCGGGTCCGCAATGCGCCACATGGTGGCATCCGAGCCGAACTCATCCCTGGCGTCCACCTCGGGATCCTGGGCCATGACCTGCTCGAACAGGGCCGCCAGTTCGTTGTCTGCGTCCCTGTAGATCGACATGATGGGGCTGATGTTCGCAGAGACCGATCCCATCAGCTTCACGCGGTCGCGCACCACCGGCGCCTCGGTGAACTCGTGGGGTAGTACCTGCCGTGTGTCGTAATCCTCGATCCCAACGCACGCTATCAGACCCAGACGTGACCGCTGCTGGCCTCCAAGCGTAAAGCCGTGGCGCATCAGGTAATAGGCTGGCTCATCGTCCTGCTGCAGCACGCCTTCCTTGAGCCACTCCTCGAAGCGCCCGGCGGTTTCCTTGTAACGGTCCGCCGGATCGGATGCCCAATCCAGGCCCTCGCCCGCCTCCAGGTTGATTACATTCAGGGGGTGCCGGTCCATCAGCGCCTGCTGAATCAATGGGGTAATCATGTCGTAGGGCGGACAGAGCACTGCCGCCATGTCTTCAACCATGGCGGGGTTGTAACGCCAACCTCGAAACGCGCGCACATTGGCCATGAACTCACCTTGCCTGGACCCGGGCGGCTGCTGGCGTTCCTGCCCGGTTTATTGCGATGCCAAGGGTCTTTAGGGAAATCAAGTATATTGCCGCGCAGAGCGTATCGCAAAGGAATTGTTTGCCTGAATGCGGCCCTTCCTGTGGTACAATTCCAAATCGCAAAAGCCATTTCAATACCCACCCAATTCCCAGTGCAAGGAAGTCTGCCATGCCCGGCGCGATCAACCAAGTTGACGGCGGCACAATCACCACCGCTCGTGGATTCCGGTCAGGCGGCACCTACGCCGGCATCAAGACCTACTCGGACGACAAGATGGACGTGGGTATGCTGCTGTCCGACACTCCCTGCGCCGCTGCCGGGGTGTTCACCAGGAGCAGCATCGTTTCGCCGTCGGTAACCGTCAACCGCGAGACCCTGGCCGGGGGACATGCCATTCGCGGCCTGGTGGTGAATTCGGGAATCGCCAACGCCGGTTTGGGCGAGCAGGGCTATATCGACGCAAAGGAAATGGCCGTCCTGGCCTCCGCAGCCATGGGGGTCAAGCCGGAGGAGGTGCTGGTGTTCAGCACCGGCATCATCGGCGTCGAGTTGCCCATGACCCTGATCAAGTCCGGCGTGGATGAAACCACATTGTCGGAGACCGGCGGCAACGAGTTGGCCCGCGCCATGATGACCACGGACACCCATCCCAAGGAGGTGGGTGTCACCGTAGATATCGGCGGCACCGACGTGCACATCGGCGGCGTGGCCAAGGGTTCCGGGATGATACACCCGAACATGGCCACCATGCTGTGCTTCGTGGCCACGGACGCGGCCATCGACCAGGGCCTGCTCCGCACCATGCTGCCGGAAGTGGCGGACTACTCGCTGAACATGCTCACGATCGACGGCGACAGCAGCACCAATGATTCGCTGGTGGTACTTGCCAACGGGGCCGCAGGCAACGCGACCATCACCGCCGGAACCCCGGAAGCAGAGGCGTTCAAGGCAGGCTTGCTCGAGTGCTGCGTACAGCTGACTCGTAAGCTGGCCCGCGACGGCGAGGGCGCAACCCACCTGCTGGTTGTGGAGGTCACCGGCGCCCGCACCAGCGAGGACGCACGCACCGCCGCACGGACGATAGCATCGTCGCTGCTGGTCAAGTCGGCCGTCTACGGCGCCGACCCCAACTGGGGCCGCCTGCTGGCCGCCCTGGGACGCAGCCAGGCCGAGGCCGTCGAGGAGAAAATTGACCTATTCATCAACGGCGTCTGCATCATGGAGGCGGGCAAACCGATTCCCTTCCACCGGGACGCCGTGGTGGCCCTCATGCGGGGAGACGAGGTCACTTTCCGCATCGCCCTGAACCTGGGCGACGCCGACGCCACCGCATGGGGCTGCGACCTGACCGAAGAATACGTGGTTATCAACAGCGCCTATACCACCTAGGCCGCTGAATCCAATAACCCCTTAGACATAGAGTAGAAATAGAGGCCGCAGAGACGATCGTAAAGTACGCCATTCTCTGGGGCCTCTTGTATTTGCCCGAAAGGCGTCCAACAGGAGCAAGACACTGTCCATCGTAGTGAAAATAGGGGGCAGCACCCTCGGAAGCCATGACACCACCTTGCTGGACTTGGTCAAGCTCCAGCAGGAGGGTGAAGAGGTGGTCGTGGTCCACGGGGGCGGCAATGTCATCTCCCGGTGGATGCAGCGCCAGGGAATTCCGCCCCGGTTCGTGGGTGGCCTTCGGGTCACCGATGCGGAGAGCCTGGAGATCGTCGTGGCCGTCCTGGGTGGCCTGATCAACAAGGAGCTGGTCTCCCTGATGGAGCAACTGGGGGGCAGGTGCATCGGGCTCAGCGGCATCGACAGCTGCATGCTGACCTGCGGCATTGCCAATCCCGAGTTGGGATACGTCGGCGAGATTCAGTCGGTCGACACTGGCCCCATCCGCGCACTGGTGGACTCCGGCTACATCCCCATGATCGCGCCCCTCGGCGTCCATCGCTTCGACGGCTCCGACAACGCGGGCAAGCCTCTGAACATCAATGGCGACACCGTTGCCGGTGAGCTGGCCCGGGAGCTGCAGGTAGATCGCCTCGTCTTCCTGACGGATGTTGCCGGCGTGATGGACGGCGGCGGCCGCGTCATATCGCGGCTCGACCAGCGCCGCGCCAACATGCTGCTGAACTCCGGGGTTGCCGGCGGCGGTATGATCCCCAAGCTGCAGGCCTGCCTGCGCGGCCTGGAGGGCGGGGCGGTGGCCGACATCATCGACGGCCGGCACCCCAACGCCCTGCTGGACTGCCTGCAAGGCCGCTCCACCGGGACCACAATAACCACCAGTCTAAATTCCCGTTCCTGAAGCCCCATATCCCCGTTTCCTTACCCTTTTGACTCTGGCATGGTTTGCGCCAGTGCAATCGTGTTTTAACCGAACCAGCTATGGCGCTGTCCCGTCATTCCCGCCCCTCCACCGTCATTCCCGCGAAAGCGGGAATCCAAGGTTTTCGCGTTGTTGGCTGTCTCCGGTGGGCTAGGCTGGCGGTTCTCCGATGAGCGCAGAACACTGGAATTTCCAGCCACTGGATTCCCGCTCCCCGATCGAGTCGAGGACATGTTTAGCGGTAATGACGGTGTGAACGGCTGCGAATAACTACAGCGCGATTGCCCTGTGGTTTGTATTCCCCGTCGTCGGGAATGAAGATCGCGTGTGTGCGATAATCATTTGGCAATCCAAAGGCAATCTGAAGAAGAGGACTCGCCATGAGCATCAGCAGCGGATGGATCGATATTGAGAAGAAATACTATGCCCAGACCGTGCGCCGCCAGCCGGTGGTCATCGTCCGCGGCGAAGGCACTGAGGTCTGGGACGCCGACGGCAAGCAGTACCTGGACTTCGTCGCTGGATGGGCGGTCAATCAGTTGGGCCACAGCCACCCCGCGATAACCCAGGCCATCGCCGAACAGGCCGGCACCCTGATCCAGACCTCCAATCAGTTCTACACTGTGCCCCAGCTCCAGCTCGCCGAGATGCTCATCGAGAACAGCTGCCTCGACCTGGTGTTCTTTGGCAACAGCGGCGCCGAGGCCGTAGAGGGCGCGATGAAGTTGGCCCGCCGCTACGGCAAGCTGAACCGTGACGGCGCCTTCGAGATCATCACCGCCTTCAACTCTTTCCACGGGCGCACCCAGGCCACAGTGGCCGCCACCGGCAGCCCCACTATCAGGAGAACTTTGCTCCGCTTCTGCCGGCTTCGTGCACGTCGACTACAACGACGTCGAGGCCGTGATCAGCGCTACCACCGACCGCACCGCCGCCGTGATGGTTGAGCCGGTGCAGGGCGAGGCTGGCGTGATCATTCCCGACGACGACTACCTGCAGCGGTTGCGCCAGTGGTGCGACAGCCAGGGCATCCTGCTGATCTGGACGAGGTCCAGACCGGCATGGGGCGGCTGGGCAGCATGTTCGGTTACCAGGAGTACGGTGCGGAGCCGGACGTGATGACCCTGGCCAAGGGTCTCGGCTACGGCGTGCCCATCGGCGCCTTCCTGTCCAAGGCCCACTGCCAAGCCCTGGTCCCCGGCGACCACGGGTCCACATTCGGCGGCAACGCCCTGACCACCGCCGCGGGCTACGCGGGCACCAAATTCCTGATCGAGAACGACATCCCAGGCCAGGTGAAGGACATGGAGCCCTACCTGCTGGGCCGCCTGAACGAGGTCAAGGACCGCTTCTCCTTCGTCTCCGAGGTGCGTGGCAAGGGCCTTTTGGCGGCCATGGACTTCGAGGACAACATCTCACCCCAGGTGCTGACAAACTCAAACGAGGCCGGCCTGCTGCTGAACGGACCGCGTCCCAACACCATCCGCTTCATGCCCCCGCTCACCGTGGCGCGGGAGGAAATCGACGAGGCTGCCGAGCGCCTGAGCACCGCCCTGTCCAATATCTAGCGCGGGTCGCGTTTCCCGTGGCAGTCCATAGTGGGGGCGCGCATCTGTGCGCCCCTGTCATTGAGTTGAACTGGGGGTCTTATCAACAGCTTGGAGGCCGGTGGGAAATGCGATGCCGGAGAGAGAATATCACGTCCTTATTGAAAAGGACGGCGTGCACGGATTCGTTGGTACGGTCCCTCAATTGAGGAGCTGCACCGCCCACGGGCGGGATCTCGATGAATTGATGGCCAACATCAGAAAGGCAATCAAACTTGCACGAATAGACGACGACTTGGACATGGACTCAGGATTTGTCGGCGTGTACAAACTGGAACTCGAGGTCGATGAGCGGTGAAAACGCGTGATTTCTATGTTGTAGTGGAACAGGACGAAGACGGCTATTTCGTGGGTGAAGTCCCTCAACTAAAGGGTTGCTATAGCCAGGGATTGACCCTTGGGGAACTCATGGAGAATATGAGAGAAGTCATTTGCCTGGTACTGGAGGAAGCGGAGAACCGCCCGGACGTGGCGGACCGTTTCGTGGGAGTACACCGGATTAAGGTGTAGAAATCCATGGACAGGCTGCCGACCCTCAGAGCTAGGGAAATGCTCTGAGGCTTATACAATTTGGGTTTCGAATTCGATCACCAACGTGGAAGCCATATCATTCTGAAGCATCTGGATGGTCGATGGGCCACAGTCCCATACCACGGATCCCGCGATCTGGATCGAAGGCTCGTTCGCAGGATACTCAAGCAAGCCCAAGTGCCGGTGGCCGACTTCCTCGCAGCCTTGTAACCAACCAGACTGGAGCATGTAAGGACCAATGCCTAACGACAGAATAGTTCTCGCCTACAGCGGCGGGCTGGACACCACGGTGGCGGTGCCGTGGCTCAAGGAAAAATACGGCGCCGACATCGTCACTCTGACCATCGACCTCGGTATGGTGGACCTGGAGACCACCCGCCAGCGGGCGCTGTCCATCGGCGCCGTCGAGGCAGTGATAGTGGACGGGCGGCAGACACTGGTGGACGAGTTTCTCTACCCCAGCCTGCAGGCAGGGACGGTTTACGAGGAGCAGTACCCCTTGGCCACCGCCCTGGGCCGCCCGCTGATTGCCCGTTACCTGGTGGAGGCGGCGCGGGAGCACGGCGCTTACGCCGTGGCCCACGGCTGCACCGGCAAGGGCAACGACCAGGTGCGCATCGAGGTGGGCGTGATGGCCCTGGACCCCAACCTCCAGGTCATCGCACCCATTCGCGACTGGGGCATGAGCCGCGACGACGAGATCGAGTACGGTCTGGCGCGAAACCTGCCCATCAACACCCGGGCCAGCCGATTCTCCACCGACGAGAATCTGTGGGGACGCAGTGTCGAGGCAGGCGAGCTGGAGGACCCGTGGCAGGAGCCTCCGAGGACGCCTACCTGTGGACGAGGCCGGTGGCTGATGTCCCTAATGAGCCCATGTACCTGGAAATCAGTTTCGAGCGCGGAGTGCCAATCGCCATCAACGGCGAGTCCATGGGCGGCGTCGACCTAATCGGCCATCTGAACGCAGTGGGAGGCGACCACGGTGTTGGCCGCATCGACCACGTGGAGAACCGCCTGGTGGGCATCAAGTCCCGGGAGATCTATGAGTGCCCTGCCGCCGTCGTCCTTCACGCGGCCCACAAGGGGCTGGAAACCATGACCCTCAGCAAGGAGCAGGCCCGCACCAAGGCCCGCATCGCCCAGGAATACTCTGACGTGATCTACAACGGCCTGTGGTACACCGCCCACCGCGCCGACCTGGACGCATACGTTCAGAGCACGCAGCGCCATGTCACCGGCGAGGTCCGGCTGCGGCTGCACAAGGGCACCTGCACGGTGGTCGGGCGACAGGCCCCGCGGGCGCTGTACAACTACGGCCTAGCCACCTACGACCGGCAGGACCAGTTCGACCATGCCGCTGCCGCCGGATTCATAGGCATTTACGGCCTGCCGGTACGCACCCAGAACCAGGCCCAGCCTGACTAAAGGGAAGCGGAAGCGCTCGGAGCGAAACAAGCACCGGGATTTCACCCTCTCCCCCGCCCTCTCCCTCAATGGAGAGGGGCATGACGAGATACCGGAGGACAGAGACCGTCGCCGCACGAATGCATGACCTGGGTACCGAGAGCGCCTTCGAGGTACTGGCCAAGGCCCGCGCCCTGGAAGCCCAGGGCCGTGACATCATTCACCTGGAGATAGGGGAACCCGACTTCGACACGCCCCGGCACATCATAGAGGCAGGAATGGCCGCCATCAGCGACGGGTTCACCCATTACGGCCCCACCGCCGGGCTGCCCGAACTGCGCCAGGCAATCGCCAACAACAGCCGCGAAGTCCGGGGCACCAACACCGAGCCCGACAACGTGGTGGTCACCCCCGGCGCCAAGCCCATCATGTTCTACGTGTTGCTGGCCCTGGGCGAACCGGGCGTTGAGGTGATATACCCGAATCCCGGATTCCCGATCTATGAGTCGATGATCCGCTTCACCGGCTGCACCCCGGTATCCATGCAGCTACTGGAGTCCAAGAGCTACCACCCGGATCTGGACCAGTTGGCTTCCCGGATTACCGACAAGACCAGGCTCATCATCCTCAATACGCCCGAGAACCCCTGCGGGTCCGCCCTCTCGGAAGGCGAGCTCCGCACCATCGCCGAAATGGTGATGAAGCATCCAAACCTGTATGTCATGGCCGACGAAATATACAAGGACATCCTCTATACCGGCGAGCACTTCAGCATCGCTTCCATACCGGGAATGGAGGAGCGGACCATCATCCTCGACGGGTTCTCCAAGAGCTACGCCATGACCGGCTGGCGCCTGGGATACGGCATCATGCCCCCCGAGCTGGTGCCCCACGTGGTCCGCCTGGCCGTCAACAGCGTGTCCTGCGCCGCCACCTTCACTCAGAAGGCTGGCATTGCCGCACTTGAGGGCCCCAGGGACCAGGTGGAAGCAATGGTCGCGGAGTTCGCCGCCCGCCGCCGCCTGATCACCGACGGGCTGCGCAGCATTCCCGGCATCCGCTGCCCCGAACCCGAGGGAGCCTTCTATGTCTTCCCCAGCATCGAGGACACGGGGCTCTCCAGCCGGGAGTTCGAAGACCGGGCAATGCAGGAAGCCGGAGTGGCCCTGCTCTCCGGGTCGGCCTTCGGGGAATACGGCGATAGCTACGTGCGCCTGTCCTACGCCAACTCCCAGGAAAACATCAGCAAGGCCATCGAGAATCTCGGCGCCTTCGTGCGCAGCCTCTGACGGCCAATTCCCTCTCCCTCAGGGGAAGGACTGGGCTAGGGCGCTCTGCCAATCTCCCTCCCCCTGAGGGGGAGGGTTGCGGTGGGGGTGAATCGCCGAACACCATCGACGCCGCATTGCCTAATTAGGAACAGAGCAGGAGACCAAAATGGCGGAATGCAAAGTAGTCCATCCTGAAGGTCTGGAGGTCGAAATCCAGTCCGGCGCAATGACCCGCCTTGCGGGAGTGTCCGAAGCCCTGACCGGCTCCACCGGCATCCACCTGGCCATCGCGACCATCCCGCCGCACTGCGCCTCCAGCCCCCACTACCACGTCAAACTGCGAATCGGCCATCTACGTGGTAAAGGGCCACGGCCGTTTCGTCGTGGGCGACAAGCTGGACAACCCGTTGCCCATCGGCCCCGGCGACTTCATCTACGTCCCAGCCGAGGCCGTCCACCAGCCCGTCAACGACAGCGACGAGGTCATGGAGATCATCGTGGCCCGCAACACTCCGGTGGAGATAGTCGCCGAGGTTTAGAGCTATGGGAACATTCAACGTTCCTCTAAGAGTGGGAGATCTGGCAAAGACCGCTTTTGCTGAAGTCGAAGCGCTGGCTGACACGGGATCAGTCCACAGCTTCATACCTGAAGACGTGTTGGAAAGTGTCAACGTCCAGCCAACAGAGACTCGCGGATTTGCGTTCGCGGATGACAGGGTAATCAATATGCCTTTTGGGTACGCAACCTTCATGTTGGAAGGGATGGAGGTAATTGCGCCTGTGATTTTTCGCCGCCGCAGGGAGTAGTCCACTGCTCGGAGCCACAACATTGGAAGCGGCGCACTTGGCCACCGACTCGGTAAACGAACGCCTGACCCCTGTATTACCGATGGCACGATTTGGCAACGGCAACGTACCCCGCTAATTTGACCCTTCGGCAACGCTCTTGTTGAGCGGCAAACACGCATAGACTATACTGGCAGCGCCCCGGCAGACGACACCAGCCGGGGCGTTCAGCGCAACAAGCTCCGGAGTTACAAGCCATGGAAATGGGCCTGACCGAAATACAGCAGATGCTGAAGAGCAGCGCACAGGAGGTCCTGGCACGGGAGTGCCCCACCACCCTGGTGCGGGAAATGGAAGAAGACGAGCGCGGCTACCCTGACGAGCTCTGGCGCCAGATGTCCAGCCTCGGCTGGACCGGCGTGCCCTTCCCCGAGGTGTACGGCGGCACTGGCGGCGACTTCCTCGACCTCGCCGTGTTGCTGGAGGAGATAGGGCGCTCCCTCGCGCCCAGCCCGTACTTCTCCACCGTCGTTCTCGGCGGTCTCACGGTCTGGATGCGGGCACCGACGCCCAGAAGGACGACCTGCTCAGCCGCGTCTGCGACGGCTCGGGCCTGATGACCCTGGCCTTGACCGAAGCTTCCGCCTCCTTCGAGGCCTGGGGCGTGGAGACCACCGCCACCGCCGAGGGAAACGGCTATGCGCTGAACGGCACCAAGCTGTTCGTTCCGGACGCTCATGTAGCCGATGTGATGATCGTGGCGGCCCGGACTGCCCAGGGCGGTAACCCCGAAAACGGTATCACCCTGTTTCTCGTTCCAGCCAGGATGGAAGGACTGGAAGTAGCTGCCATTCGCACTATCGGTTCTGAGAGGCAGTTCGAGGTGTCCCTGAACAATGTCCGCCTGCCTGAAAGCGCCGTCCTCGGCGAGGTAAACGGTGGCTGGCCCATCGCCCAGCGGGCGTTGCAGAGGGCCATTGCCGGCCAGTGCATCCTGATGCTGGGGGGCGCCACCGCCGTGCTCGACATGACCGTCGAGTATGTCAAGCAGCGGACCCAGTTCGGGCGAGCCGTGGGCAGCTTCCAGGCGGTCCAGCACCACTGCGCCCAGATGGCCACCGACGTGGAGGGTTGCCGTGGTGTCGCCTACCAAGCGGCATGGATGCTGGCCGAAGGCCTGCCCGCGCAGCGAGAAATCTCCATTGCCAAGGCGTGGGTCAGCCAGGCCTACCGCCGTGTCTGCGCCACCGCCCACCAGTGCCACGGCGCGATTGGTTTCACCAAGGAACACGACCTGCAGCTGTACACCCGCAGGGCCAAGGTACAGGAGCTGGGTTACGGCGACTCCAACTATCACAAGGAACTGGCGATGGCGAGCATCGCCGGCGAATAGTTGACGAAGATAGTTAAGGCCTAGGCTAAGAGCCCGAGCAGGCATGACGACACCCAAAAACAAATACACTTCCATGAGCCAGGACTTTATGGCACGCGCGGAGGGCTACCTGCGGCAGGGCGACTTGGTGCAGGCGTGCGAAAAGTCTTGGGGCGCTGCGGGCCTGCGCCCTCAAGTCCATTGCAGAGCAAAGGGGCTGGCACCATCAGTCGCATTCTCTGCTCTACGATATTTCCGGCCAGGTCGTTGACGAATTAGGCCGGCCCTACCTTCGAGAAATGTTCGCTGTGGCGAGGTCCATGCACCAGAACTTCTACGAAAACTGGACTCCAGAGGATGAGGTGGAATTCGGAGTCAGCAAAGTAAAAGAATATCTGGCTGAACTGGAGGCCGTCAGCCCTCGGATTCCGGCGTCCTATGTAGTTGAAACCAG